TGGCTGTCCAAGAACTCGCTCTGTAGGCCAGGCTGGCCTTGAACTCAGAGATCCACCTGCCTCTCGAGTGCTGGGATTAAAGGAGTGCGCCACCATTGCCGGGCAATGAGAGATTTCTGTAGTAAGCCGAGTTGTATTCTTTTGGATATGCCTAAAGCAGTATGGACAAATTACATAGTATTTTTCTTTTTTCTTTTTTTTTTTTTCAAGATAGGGTTTCTCTGTATAACCCTGGATGTCCTAGAACATACTTTGTAGACCAGGCTGGCCTCTAACTCAGAGATCTTCCTGTCTCTGCCTCCCAAGTGCTGGGATTAAAGGTGTGCACCACCACCATATAGCAATTTTATTTTCAATCTTAAGCATGTTTTGCCTATGGTTGTGTTTTCTCCATGTATGTCAGTGCACTCCATGCCTGCTTGCTGCCTTTGGAGGCCATAGGAGGGTGTCAGATTCCCAGGTGGTTGTGAGCCACCATGTGGGGCTGGGAATTGAAGCTGGATCCTAAACTGGGAGGTGAGAGCGCATGCCTCTAATCCCAGAACTCGGGAGGCAGGACAGGCTCCAAAGCTGCACAGAGAAACCCTGTCTCAATAATGTGTGTGTGTGTGTGTGTGTGTGTGTGTGTGTGTGTATTCATATAAAGGACTGAATAGAGACCTGAAAATGTGAACTATTAAAAAAATGCAGGGGGAACCTTAAGATGCAAGTATAGGCAAAAGGCTTCTCAAGTACAACTTCAGTATTGGAAAATACTAGCAAGAATTCTTCAATAGTATTTTATCAAATTGAAAGTCTTCTGCACAACAAATGGAATAGCAGAGCGGACAAACCACTTACTGGGGGGGGGCGTAAACCTGTGACAGCTACTCATCCAAGAAGAAATTAATAGCCAAAATATAAAATGAACTCAAAAGTTAAACAATCAGAACAAATCATCGGATCAATCCGTAGGCACTTTTCAACTGAAGATGGAAAAAAAAATGATCAATGAATCTAGGAAAACATCTTTAGCCATCAAGGAAGTGTCAATCAATCAAAACTATGGAGAGGCTCTCTCATCTCAGTCAGAATAGCTATCACAGGAAAACAAAAATATTTAAACAAGACTGATGGCAATGGAAATCCATATGGAGTGACCCCCCTCCCTCAAAAAAAAATTGAAACTAGCAACAGGAGAGAGATTAACCTTGCAGTCATCTCTCCAGCCTTTATTTTTTCATGTTTTACTGATTAGTGAGACTAAGAATAATGTTTGGGGGTATTAATGAGGATGGACAGAAAGGACACCCTTTCTTCACTCTTGTTCTTAGAGGACACGTGTTCACCCCGCCCCCACCCCCACCCCCACCCCTGTTCAGGATGATGTTGGCTATCAGTTTGTTGCACGTGGCTTTTACTCCGTTTAGGCGTTATTGCAGCAATAGAAACTCTTAAGTGAAGTAGTAAAGGCAAAAGAGCCCTCTGAAAAACGCTGGGGCAGCCAGTGTGGTGAACTGCTGGACAGGGCTCAAAGAGGAACTCTGAGGTACTCAAGGAAGGAACCGGATGGGAAGACTTGGGCGGAGCGCACCAATGCTGGGCACAGAACTGGACGAACCTGCAGCTTTATCGTGAGAGAATAGCTGAGTGCGTGGCCACCAAAGGGCCGCTGGGGATCAGGAGCCTGCCCACACAGAAACTGCTACAAATTTCTCCTAGTGGCAGCAAGCAGTAGGGTTGCCTACCCCACCACAGGAGCTGGGAAGGGAAAATTCTGTCCTTGACCAGTCTTTTCCCGGCCTTTGAGCGCCCTCTACAGATAAAGTTTAAGACTGTGCGGGATTACTAGGGAGGTCCTCTACAGATGGCAGGTCACACCTAGGAGGCTGCCTGAGCCCTAGAATAGTTAAGAATAGGGCCCAACAAGAATCATAAACTTACTGAAAACATTACTCATATTTAGAGGGTACTTTGGTTTTTTTTTTGTAACTCAATTGCATGACTTCTAAGCTTGGACTTCTAAGCTTGGACTTCGGAAGGGGCAATGCTGTGTTACAATGTGAAAAGCTTGGGCGAGCCTGCTGGCTACAATGTAACAAAACAAGATTAAAAAAAAGAATTTGCAGTGAAGAAGCAGTGATTGAAACTAGAAGGTGAACCCATCTTGATTTTGTAGATGAAAGTCTCTCTCTCTCTCTCTCTCTCTCTCTCTCTCTCTCTCCATTTGTCTACACTTGTGTTACCCTGAATATTAGCCATATTAGTATTCCAATGTATGAATTCCATTGATTTTTTTCAAGGTCATCTCAAGGGCAGAAGTTATCAATATGAGTGATATTTTTCAAACAATAAAATACTAAATGACAAAGCACCGAATCAGGCCACAAGAAACAAGGTGTGACTGAGCATCCCAGGAGGCTGGGGTAAAGGAGGGCCTTCCCCTCTGGAGTTGTCAGTGGCTTGGGCGAAGGTTTGCCCTGAGCTGTTGACTCCTAGTTCACCCTGTGTCTGGACTGGCGTGAGGCCTGGCTTACAAGCCAAGCTTCCTGCCTCCCTTTCTCGTCTGGGCAGGCTGAAGAAGATAGCTCCTAGCTGCTAGTGGGGAAGGGAATTAGCGTCCCCAGGGCACCTGCTTTGAGTGAAACACTAAGTCTCATATATCATCTTACCTCCTGGGCTAAGTAGTCATTTTCACAGGCAGAGACTGGGTCTCAGTGAAGCCAAGGAAGGTGCCTGGGTTTGTAGTGAGAGGCAGAGCCAGGATTTGAATTCAGAACTGTCTGGGACTAAAGGTCAAGCTCATTCCTCAGTGTTAAGGAGAGGTGGGAGAGAAAGGCGGGGAGAATCTTTGGGGACACAAGAATGGAGGGAAGTCCCTCACCTTGGCATCAAGTTGAAGCCTTGTGCCAGCAGAGCAAGAATTCCAGCCCAATTAATAACTGCTCCAGTTGTTAATTCCTTTTCCCACCCCAGCCATAAAACTATCATTTTCTAGGTCTGTCGCCAGAAACCAGGTTATAGGAAAAGGTACGAAACCCTTTGTGCAACTCTTGTGGGTCCAGGTTTAACTTTAATAGATTCAAATTTTATTCAAGGCATTTCCAGAGATACCTTATAGTCTCACTGATTGAGACTGAGAAAATGGCTCCACAGTTGAGAGGTCTTGCTGTGTAAGCAAGGCTTCCTGAATTCAGATTCCCTAGGACCCATGAAAATCAGGGCTTGACTACGCATGTCTGTAACCTCGGCATTTGCGGAGGGGGCGCGGAGACAACTGGATCACTGGAGCTTTATAGCAAGATAACTGAGCAACGTGTTCAGTGAGGGGACCTGTCGCACGTCTCCCTCTGTGCAAACACCTGATAACGACTACTTCATTTCTTCTTGATTTCTTGGTTTGGCCTGTGAATAATGTACAAGCGTGCAAACATTTAGAAAATTTTTCTTTACTTTCTTCCGTTGTAGCGAATCCCTGGCTATTTTCACCCAGATCCACATCTTTGGCAGAATCAAATGGGTATCTCGCATCAGACCTCAGACCGCGGTTATTCCCCGTCGTGAAGTTCATGCCCTTGTGATGAATTCCTAATTGTTCCACCAGAGGGCAGCAAAGAAGCATGAACAGGGGAGCGAAGGCCGGAAGGAGTTTGCTGGCTGGAAAGGTCTCCAGGGAGTCCCCCAGAGGTGGTGTTCGCCTTTAATCCTAGCTCTTGGGGAGGCAGAGGCAAGTGGGTTTCCGTGAGTTCGAGAGTAGCCTGGTCTACAAAATGAGTTCCAGGACAGCCAGGGCTGTTACACAGGGAAACTCTGTCTCAAAAAAAAGGGGGGAGGGGGTTGAAAATCAAAGACAAAGCACCATACAGAGATTTTTTTTTTGAACTGAAAAAAAAAAGAAATAGAAGAATGAGCCAATATTGACTTTCAAACGTAAAATTTTTCTGAAAGCACAGCACAGATACACACCTTACACACACAGCACAGTGAACCGACTTTCTATTTCCCAGTCAGCGAGCACAGGCCTTCAGCAAACAGTCCTTCTGCCTCTGCCTCAGACACAGGCAAACCATGCCTTTCTGCTTCTTCTCAAAACCGTTGGTTTCACTTCCTTTTTGAAGGGCATGCTTTTCTCAAGAGATCTGGCCGGAAAGTGTTCCTTGCATAGCAGTGAGTGGCCCTGCATTTTCTAGCTTTATTTTGGCTGGAAGACACATAGCAAAGGTGGACATTGCCGTTGACAGCAGAAGTCTCTATTTCTGCCGTTAATGCTTCGCAGTCCGCTTTGGGCAATGACCTGGCGTAGCCTGGCTGTCGGGTACAACATGGTCAGAAGCAGGTTCAGGAGAAGAGGTGTTTTGGGATCTCATCAAAAAATCTTAGTATAAACTTTGGGAACACTAGGGAGGGTTTGTACAATGATGCAACAAACAGAAACTTGAATGAGAGACACTGCGGTAGTTTTAGTAAGGATGTCCTCCTTAGACTCTTGTATTTGAAACTTGGTTCCCAGTTGGTTGGTGCTGTCTGGGGGCAGTTTAGGTGGTGCAACCTTGCAGGAGGAAGTATATTACTGGGGGTAGGCTTTGGGGTTCAACGCCTCACACTGCTTCTGGTTCGTTCTTTCTGCTTTGTGTTTGCATTTGAAGACGTGAGCTCTCAGTTTTCTCTTCCTGCTGCCTCGCCTGCCTGCGGCTTGCTGCCACGCTTCTCTGCCAGGACAAACACTACTCTCTCTGGAACTGTAAGCCAAATAAACTCTTCCCATTCCAAGATGCCTTTGCTCATCGCGTTTTAGAGCAGTAACAAAAAAAAAAAATAACTAATACATACACCTTAGGTTATGTGTATGGCCCAGTTAGGGTGGCCTCACTTTGGAGGTGGCATTTCAAGCCGGGACAACACAAAATAGAGGGATAAACAGAAACGGGAGAGAGAACAGCGTGGTATTCTTCTGAGGTGGGATGCTATTGAGGGAACCTCCAAAAGAGCCCTGAGAAGGCTTGAGGAATCTTTCAAGACAAGTGGAGAACTTGTTTCATATATGGGGGTTGCTTAGAGACTTCAAAATAATTGCACAGAAGGGTTACATTTATCCACAGCCCAGCCGGCATGGAGACCATTCATTCTCTAGACCTTTCTGAACGCCAGTTCTCACCGATATTTTACTTTTGGGTTATGACAAGCTTCTGGAAGGGTTATACAGACAATAATTAGGCCCAGGTGTGGCAATGCACACACATCTGTAATCCCAGCATTTGGGAGGCTGAGGCAGCGTTACCTGCCTAGGTATGGTTCCAACCTGGACATTGGCATCCCTAAAAAGCGAGGTTTTATCAAAGCCTCCAAAGGCCAATTCAAAGGATCAGCAACAGCGGAAAAACAGAGAAAAAAGATGTATGCAAAAGTGTCCTGCTGGGAAGAGGAACCAATGGGGAGAGCCAGTGGCACCCAAGTCCACGTGGGGTCTTGATAGAATCTTTAGGCTCAGATGGAGGGCTGGGGGGTAAATGACCAAGCAGTCCTGGTCAGGCTGGGGCCCCGCCCACCACTGATCCTTGTCTCATCCTGCAAGTGGTTGTCCGAAGCCTGTGAAACCTGTCTGGGAGACAAATCTCCCTTCTAGCTGGCATCCAGCATTAGCCTTTCTCTCTCTCCCACCATGAGATTCATGGGGGGGGATTCTAACTTCATGGAGAACCAGTATTTCTTTTTAAAACTTCATTATAAATTTATTTACTCACTATAGTGTGTGTGTGTGTGTGCACATGCGCGCGTGTGTGCATGTACATGTGTATGCGTGTGTGTGTGTGTGTGTGTGTGTGTGTGTGGTATGTGCCTGAGAGTCACATGGAACTTACAGGAATCAGTTCTCTCTTCCTGTCATGTGGGCCGCAGGGATCAAATACTGGTCGTCAGACTTGGTGGCAGACTCCTTTATGAGCTGACCCATCTTGTGAGCCAGGACCATTATTTCAACGAACTGATAACCAAACAGAGGGACACGATGACTCTTTAGAGAGAATCGCATCTTTCCTGCCAAGAAGATTACAGAAGGAGGATGGCACCCACTTTGAAGCCAGCTTGGTCTACATACTAAGGACCAGGCCAATGTGGGCTCCATAGTAAAACTGGCCTGGCAGAAATAAAGATTTTTCTCAAGAGACACTTTTGTGTCTCTCAGACCATCAGATTATTAAACAGTGGATCCCAAAGAAGTAGGAATTTCTCTTGGAGTCTCACGTTGAGAGAAAGAAGTAAAAGGTGCCATCAGTTTCACTTCAGGACCCAAGAAGATGGGCTTGGGGAGCCTCTGCATCTCTCCGTCCCTCTTCCTGATGTGGCCACGTTGAGTAAATTTCCTTTTTCTCCTTTCCACTCTCAGTTGTCCAATTGAGGACAACTAGCCAAACCTGGGTGTGGTCCCCAAGTTCAGTACAATAACAGATCCAACAGATCCTATCTCACAAAACAGAAAGAAGTAAAACAAGAAAGGTTCCTTTCCCCTTTCTCTGTCTTCTCCTGGTGCCTGGGTATCGCCTACATTGGGCTCATTTGTATTTGCTTGTAACCACGTGTCCGGTTTCCTTCCATGGTCTTTGCCCTTTTCATCCCTTTCAAAGGCATCTTCTCAGTGAAGCACCTCTGGTTCACTACACTGGGTGGCTCCTACTCTAGCAGGGCTGCAAAGCTTCTGGTGCCTTCGTGGCCTTCAGAGCCATCTGGCACAGCATTTGCCTGTTGATAAGCAAAGAGAAACTCATGAAGCCTGGTTCTTCCTTGCCCTCCTTTGCTTTATCGGTGAATCCTTATTCTCAGAGCCCCTTGGAGGGAGTTGAAGTCTCTTTTAGTTTCCTGTTCGTGTGCCCCTTACTTTCCGAGAGAGGAGAAGCCAATGAATAAGCAGTCTTGTGGGGTTTTCTAGTTTTCATTTGCTTGTTTGTAGGTAGGGCCTCACTACATAGTCCTGGCTGGCCTTGAACTTGCTTTGCAGACCAGGCTGGCATCAAATTCACAGTGATCGACCTGTGTAGCATTAATAAGAACCAGAGACAGAAACTGGGGTTCAATCTGAAGGTCAGAAAAGCAAAACAGCCAGCCACTGGCTCTTACCTCTACCTCAGTCCAGAATGGTGATCCTGCCTCCAGGAATTTCAGAATGAGATTATGTCTGAGAGCTGTTTTCTCCTGTTTTATATTCCACTCCAGTGCTGGGATTAAAGGTGTGCACCACTACTGCCTGGTTTCTATGGCAAACTAGCATTGCTACTGGGATTAAAGGTGTGTATCACCACTGCCTGGTCTGTAAGGTTGACCAGGGGGGTTGTTTTAATCTCTGAACTTCAGGCAAACTTTATATATTAAAATACAGATGAAATATCACTACACACCCGCTTCCATGTGCCACCACGCCTGACCTAGGAAGAGATCTTAAAGTAGCTCTCAGATTTTCCTGGAGCCCTCCTGACACCGAGATGCTATTTGTAGCCCATGGGAGTCAAGTATAGTGAACGAGGAGGCAACGGTGACAGCTACATCCACAGTGCCACCCAGGACCAGTCCAACCCAGGGAGCTAGCAGGTTCTGCAAGGCAGAGAAAGACCATATTCGTCTTTGACTTTGGGTGGTAGATTCGAGCATATTAAGTCAGGCCCACGGAGTTTATCAGGTGTGGAAGGATGTTGGGAGGCTTTGTGGAAGAGCTCCAGGGTATGTAAATGTCATGACTCAGAGAGGGGAGGGCAGAGAATTACAGAGAACTAATTAAATCAGCACCTCCCACCCACGCTTTGTACCCAGCTTTGATCTGGCAGAAACGGCTAAGACATTTCTGTGCCGTTTTAGACGACATCGCCAGTGTTCTACTTTGGTGCCTTCCCAGTTGTGAACCTCTGGGGTCGCCCGACATTCGCTCAGAACAGATGATAAAGGACTTCAATAGCTCTTCACCAAGGTTATATTTATTAAGGGAGGGTGGTTCAGGATGTTGCTCTGCCCTGCCTATCTTCTGGAAAGGTTTTTCTATATAGTGATATAATGATAATCCATGAATGTTTTGCAGATTTGAAAAACTGCTGGAGACACAGCCAGGTGCAATGTACTTTCTCCTAACCTACAGCTTAAGCAGGGCTCGGTTAATTCAAAGGAAGCAACAAGAACAAAACCCCAAAAGGCACCATGCCAGGGTGGAAAAGGACACTCCCAGAGTTAAGCTGCCAAGAAGACTCTGAGACCAACCAGCTTCCTAGGTCAGCCACTGGCAGGGCTCAGTTTAGTGTGTGTTGCTGGTGACTGGTAGCTTCAGCCACAAGCAGTCTCTTTACACGGAGTCTATCCAAAGACCTTGGTCAACAGGAAGCTGCACCAGGAAGCCATGTTTGACTCTGTGTTTTGAGCTTTCCTTTTTGGCTTTCTCAGGCCTTATGTGGATATATGTGATGGGCACCATATATAGTCAGACTGGTCTGGCCTTATCAGTGTTGTGGTTTGATGACACGTTTCCCATGAGCCCTTAGTCCCTAGTTGGTGGTGCTACCTGGGAAGGCTGTGCCAATGAGTGCCTGGGAGTGGCCTGGCCCCTAGCCTAGCCTCTAGCCTAGCCCCACTTCCTGATTACATACCCAGCCTCCTGCTTCAACTGACTGTATCCCTTGAACTGTAAGGCAGAATAAAGTCTTCCTTCCTTAAATTGCTTCCTGTTGGTCATCTTGTCCCAGCAATAAAAGGCCATACACCTGGTAACAGCAGGGACAAACATAGAAGTCTCATACTCTATGTTCCCACGTCCTCCCTGGACCAGGGGACCATAAGGGTGGCTGCCACCATTCCAATTTGGAGTGAATCAATGAGTCTGAAACCTGCTGATTCTAAGCCCTTCCTCTCCCTAGACTGTGTGTGCGTGTAATTGTGTGTGTGTGTGTGTGTGTGTGTGTGTGGTGGGTCAGTGGCGTGAGTGTGTGTGCATGCGTGTGCATGTGTGTGTGTGGTGGGTCAGTGGCCTTTATGAAGTGTGTGTGAGTGTGTGTATGTGAGTGTGCGTGCATGTGCGTGTGTGTGTGCATGTGTGTGTGGTGGGTCAGTGGCCCTTATGGGGTGTGTGTGAGTGTGTGTGTGTTTGGGGGGGGGTCAGTAGCCCTTCTGGGGTATGGACTGTGGCTCTTTTCTTGCCAGATTCCTGCCAGGTTATCCCCACACCCTGGTCTTTTGATTTTCCATGCTTTAAAACATAGCCTTGTTAATAATCTTAAATCTCTTTATCTCGGTCTGGGGGGATATGGGAATAAAAGACAGAACAAGCCTGGCCTAGTGTCACAAGCTCGTAATCCCAGCTACTTGGGAGATGGAGGGAGAGGGATATTAAACCAAGGTCAGCCGGGACAATTTAACCAAGACGGCCTCTCGAAATAAAACGTTAGAGGTCTGGGAAGATGGCTTAGTGGGTAAGGGAGCTGGCTGTGCAAGCTAATGACCTAAGTTCAGAGCTCCAGCACCGGTGGGAAGCATGGCCTGTGGTCCCCGACACTGGGATGGGGGCTCTCTGCATGGCCTGTGGTCCCCGACACTGGGATGGGGGCTCTCTGCATGGCCTGTGGTCCCCGACACTGATGCATGAGGGCTCTCTGCATGGCCTGTGGTCCCCGCCGCTGGGATTGGGACTCTCTGCATAGCCTGTGGCCTCCGATTCTGGGATTGGGGCTCTCTGCACTACCTATGGCCCCCGACTCTAGGATGGGGCTCTCTGCATGGCCTGTGGCACCTAACACTGGGATGGGGACTCACTGCATGGCCTATGGCCCCCAACACTGGGATGGGGGCTCTCTGCATGGCCTGTGGCCCCCGACACTGGGATAGGGGCTCTCTGCATGGCCTGTGGCCCCCGACACTGGGATGGGGACTCACTGCATGGCCTGTGGTCCCCGATGCTGAGATTGGGACTCACTGCATGGCCTGTGGTCCCCAATGCTGGGATTGGGACTCTCTGCATGGCCTGTGGTCCCCGGAACTGGGGTGGGGACTGCATCGAAGTACCTTTGCTGGCAGTTTGAAGTCCAGTGTGAAATCACTTACTTTCTTCTTCAGAGTGGTTGGAGATTGGGCATTGGCGCGCGCGCGTGTGTGTTCTTTCATTATCTGCCCTGGCTGATCCCGGATCCTGCTAGTTCTAATCTTTCTGCCTCCACCTCCCTGAGTGCTGAGATTACAAGCGTGCACCAGGCATCCATCCGGTTTACCCATCCGATTTACACGGTGTATGTTTTCTGCAGGCAAAGCAAACACTCCACCCCACAGCCACGTTCCTGGCCCGGCTCAGAAAGGCGGGTGTGTGTGTGTGGGGTGTGTGTGTGTGTGTGGGGGGGGGGAATAAGGAAGTGTCTTCAAGAATTGGCGGGGGCTCCTAAGGCGAGGGACGGTGGGGCAGCCTATAGCAAGAACGGCTGGCTGGCACCGTGATACCAACTAATGATTAACTTGTTGCGGGATGAGTCATTCCTCTACGCTGGGTGAAGTTTTCGCCGAACTCTTTCAATTGCGAGTTTTCCTTCCTCCTCGCTGAAGGCTGGAACCCGCCCTTCTGCGGAGGGCGCTTGATCGGCTCCCCTTCCCTGACCTCGGGTGATCGGGTTTTAAAGCCTGGCT